CGGGGTCAGGTGCCCCTTTGGAGTGGGTAGAGCTGGACGATGGGTGGAGGTAGGTAAGTTCCACACTGTGTCTCAGCTCCTTCATGTGTGCCTCCATTAGGAATTTGTAGATAACATCTGTCAGCTTTTCACTGCTTCCGGCATCTCTCGGCTTACGTGGGAGCCAGAAGGACCCGGGAGACCTTGGCGCTGTTTCAGGGAATGGGGACCCCATGCCCGTAGCTCCCACTTCCTGTGGTTGGAAGACACAGTCCCACAGAACTCCTTTTCTGTTGCGATGAATAACATTCACATTCATCAAAAAACATTTCTCAGTTCATAGCCTCTTTTTGTCACTGGGCTGTGCATGAGGAGATCTGTGAAATATTTTAACCTGATAGTAGAATGGTCTTCAAAAGGGTGGGAGCTGCTCCTTCAAGGAGAGTAAGAAAGATCTTACTTTATGTTAGAGCACAGTGCCCCTCTGCTTCTCCTCCTCAGGCTCCTGCTGTATACGCCCGTCCCCCCGGGATGAAGAGTTACCACTGGGAGATTATTTAGGTAAAATATTAAAATCTAATCTTGCACTGATGACTTGTCACAGCTGGGAATCTGATTCCTTCTTTAGCAGAACATGGTGATTGTGAGGATTATGCTGTTCATCTTTAAGGAGGACAGTACGAGAGGATTTTTGTCTCTGTTTTTTAAGGATTCCTCTGAAGGCACGCAGAGAGCGAGGATCAGCTCCTTCCTGCCCGCTTTCCTCTCTCCTTCCTTCCTCCTCTGCCTCCCTCTCCCCTTTTCATCTTGAGTAGAAAGGGAGAGTGTGCGCCTAGTTTTGCCCAGGAACTCAGAACCTTTCATTAAATATTTACGAGAGCTGGTAATTTGGTCAAGCAATTCTCCTATGAATGAGGACAGGAAACCTCTGGACTGTGTTTCTAGCTGCTCCAGAGCTCATGGAAGGACAACTATAAACGGCCTCATGCTTCCCTGGTGGTTCAGATGTAAAGAACCCGCCTGTAATGCGGGAGACCTGGGTTCGATCCCTGAGTTGGGAAGATCCCCTGGAGGAGGGCATGGCAACCCACTCCAACATTCTTGCCTGGAGAATCCCCATGGGCGGAGGAACCTGGCGGGCTACAGTCCATGGGGTCGGACACGAGTGAATGCCTAAGCACAGCACAGAGGGTTTCTGTGGCCAGAAAGCACCGTGGATGCGTTGGTGATTCTGGGTGTGTGATAAAATGAAACAGTCTTGTCTCAAAGGTTTCCCCTGACAACACTCACACACACAGTTACACAGTGACACATCTACACATTCACACACACATTCATACATACAGACATTCGTGTACACACCCACACCCCATCTGGGTAGCAGGGCAGACAGCCCTTTGTCTACGGACATTCCATCCCGGTCTGCAGCAACCCCAGGAGTCGCCACCAGGGGGCAGCAGAGGCCGCAGAACCTGGCCGGCCCCGCTGGAGGGGCGGTGGGCGGAGCTGAGCCTCTGGGGGCGGAGGGAACCCCTGGGGTACGGACCTGGCTCCCAGAGAGAGGAGAGTTCCCCAGCATCCCCAAGTTTGTTCTGCTTCGGGCCTAGGATGTCACCTTTTTAAACACATGGGTTCACACGGTCCTTACCTTTCCTGTCCCCTTCATACCTGGCTCCCATGTTCCTGGAGTGGTCATCCGAAACCCTACCTGCTCTCCTTTCCTGGCACATCCCTAGGGTCGGGGACTGCAGGAGCCCACAGTCTGGGCCAGCTGGGGTCATTTGGGGGCTCCAGGAGGGGAGGAGGGGCAGTGGGTGACATGGCCACTCGTGAGAAATGAGCTGATGAGAAGAGGGGGGTTGGCTGTCACCGGGTGCTCTGTCCCTCCCACCCCATGCTGTTGGAGGGACAGATATGTGGAGGATGGACATCTTTCCATTCTTGTGAAAAGTGTCATATACCCTAGTTTGGAGTCAGACTCTCGGTTTCCCTGTTCCTCTGCATTGCCCTTTCTGAATCTCTCCTGCACAGAAATTCTAGAGCTGCTGCTCACTGCAAGAAAGTGGGGGTTGGAGGGCTTGGTTTCTTGCATCTTTGGGGTGAAAGGAGGGAAACTTGTAGCTGAATTTTTCAGAAATACATGTGGAGATCAGAACAGCTCTTTGGGTCTCTCTGAACTCACAACCCAGTCTTGATGGAGTTGTTTGTTATCCAAGTGTTCAGAATGTTAAATACATAACACATTTCCAAGGTGGCATTTTCACAAGCATTTTTCCTGCCTCAGTTTCCTCGAGTGAAAAGCTTTTTTCCCGTGTGTGTGTGTGTGTGTGTGTGTGTGTGTGTGTATGACAAAAAACAAAAGCAGAGCTGCCCTGATGGGGACGTCTGCAATTTGCATATTTAGTGACCCAGTGGGGAAAGGCGACAGCTAGAGATGCTGCTTCTTACACAGCCTTTACCACCCGCTCTGTGCGATCCAGGGAAAATCACTGATCGGATTTGGCCTCAAAAATGGGAACACTGACCTTTTCCAAAATCCACCAAACTGGAATATATAATGGGTTAATGTCATAGAGGCAAATGACACTTAGGTTCTTAGGGGGAAAATACAGTGTATGTTTTTTTTTTTAAGTTGGAGGCTAATTACTTTACAATATTGTAGTGGTTTTGTCATACATTGACATAAATCAGCCATGGATTTACATGTATTCCCCATCCCCATCCCCGCTCCCACCTCCCTCTCCACCCCATTCCTCTGGGTCTTCCCAGGGCACCAGGCCTGATCACTTGTCTCATGCATCCAGCCTGGGCTGGTGATCTGTTTCACCCTAGATAACAACAGTGTACATTTTTATCAGAAGAATATTCCTAAAGTCCTTGGAAGCATGGTTTTGATGGATATAAATAGGGAATTAAGACCAGTTATTAACCAACCAACCACCTTGCACTTGAGGTCCTCTGGTGACTTCCGGTGGATGGGGGAGGTGCCCAGTGGAACAGCAGGATCTGAGGGGAGGGGCGAACAAGAGGGCTCAGGGCAGCCTTCCAGAGGCCAGCCCCACGGGGTGGGTGGGGTCTCTCCCGAAACTGACCGCAGGGATGGATGCCTGACTGCGTGTCGGGGGATGGGGCAGTGGGTTACCGTTCAGGGTGGAAAGACGCTGAAGACATATTTAGCCACATCTCCATTTCTTGATTTCAGCGTGTTTATATTGGGCGTTTCGAGTTTAAAGCTAATTAAATCGATTCATCATCTTTTGTGAAATACCAAAACGATTTGGTAAATGCTAAGTAGGCTAGTGGACGTTTACATCATTTAACACGAGGCGTAGGCCACCTGCAACGTGTAGGTGATTCATTAATTTCAAGTAAGTTTCACGCATGTAAGTAAATGGCAAAACTGAGGGTTTCCGGTACGGCTCTCCCTTCTGCTGTGTTTGTGCAGTAGGTGTCTAGCCATAAATTTGCTGCCAAGACCCTTGTCAGGAAGCTTTTTCCCCCTATGTTTTCTTTTAGAATTGTATGGTTCAGGTCTTATATCTAAATCTTTAATCCATTTTGAGTTAATTTTTGTGAGTGGTATGAGATAGGGCCTAGTTTCATTCTTTTACATGTGAATATCTGATTTTTCCAGCACCATTTAAAAAAAGTTTTTATTTTCTCAACTTTTTATTTTGTGTTGGGGTGTAGCTGGTTAACATTCTTGTGACAATTTCAGGTGAATAATGAAGGGACTCAGCGATACATTTACATGTAACCCATTCTCCCCCAAGCTCCGCTCCCATCCAGGCTGCCACCTAACATTGAGCAGAGTTCCATGTGCCATACAGTAGGCCCTTGTTGGGGATCCGTTTTGAATATAGCAGTGTGTACATGACCTTCCCAAAGTCCTTAACTGTCCCTTCCCCTGGCAACCGTAAGTTCATTTTCTAAGTCTGTGAGTTTCTTTCTGTTTTGTAAGTAAGTTCATTTGTATCATTTCTTTTTAGATTCCACAGATAAGAGATGTCCTATGATATTTCTCCTTCTCAGACTTACTTCACTCAGTATGACATTCCCTGAGTCCATCCATGTTCCCAGCACCATTTACTGAAGAGACTGTCTTTTATCTATGAGTATTCTTTGCTCCACTGTGAAATATTAGTTGACCATATATGCATGGGTTTATTTCTGGGCTCTCTCTTCTGTTCCACTGGTCTACATGTCTGTTTTTATGCCAGCACCATATGGTTTTGATTATTGTAGTGTTTATAAAATAGCTAGAAATCAGGAAATGTGACCCCCCCACACCCCACTTTATTCTTCTTTCTCAGAACTTCTTTGGCTCTTTGGAGTTTTCGTGGCTCCGTGTATAACTTCTTGTTTTGCATTTCCTCTCTTAGTGCTCGGAGTGGCTTTTACCCTCATCTTCATCCTTCTCTTTGTTTGGGCTCATTGCACCTCTTTTTGCCCCACATGCTGTGCCACAGGTAGAAATTCCTGACCCAGAGCAAAGTGGTGATGAGGGTGGTTAAGGTCAAACCCACCTTGCAAGTGGCTCCATTTCCCCCAGTAAAATGTGAGCAGAGTGATGTTTGCAGGGTCTGCAATAATTCCTCCAAAGGAAACGCCCTGCCCTTCCTTTTTGGCTTCCTTCCAGCCCCAGAGGGTTTCTGTATTAATAAACTCCACTCATGCAATACTTTGGCCACTTGATGTGAAGAGCTGACTCGTTGGAAAAGACTCTGATGCTGGGGAAGATTGAGGGAAGGAGGAGAAGGGGGTGACAAGATGAGATGGTTGATGAGATGGCATCACTGACTCAATGGACATGAGTTTGAGCAAACTCTGGGAGACAGTGAAGGAGATGGGAGCCTGGCGTGCTGCAGGCCGTGGCAGAGAGCAGGACACGACTGAGCGACTGAATAATAACAACATGCAGCTGAGGGCGATGCAGTCAGAAGCGACAGAGCAGGGAGATGGAAGGAGGCAGGCTCCCGTGGGAACCTGGAGGAGCAGAACCTCCAGAGGATGCTGGGAGGATGGGAGTAGAATTTGGGCGCATCACTGAGGCAGACCTGTGGCAATTCTGCTGGAAAGGGAGACGGGAAGACAAGAGTGGTATGTGTTAGGTCCTCAGTCGTGCCAGACTCTTTGCGACCCCATGGATTCTAACCCACTGGACTCCTCTGTCCATAGAATTCTCCAGGCAAGAATACTGGAGTGGGTTGCCATTTCCTTCTCCAGGGAATCTTCCCAGCCCAGGTTTTAAACCCAGGTCTCCTGTGTTGCAGGCGGATTCTTTACTGTCGGAGCAGCCAGGGAAGCCTCTGCTGTGCAGGGCTCCTTGCAACTAACTCGGTGGGCCCCTCTAGAGATCTTATTCAGTAGCCTCTTTTTCCCTACTAGCCCTGGCCTGTTTAACCACCCCCCTCCACCCCCACCACAAATGAACCTTGTGCTTTCCCCTCCCTTTCTGTCCTTGGCCAGGTGAGAAGCCTGGAAGTGAGCCTGAAGAGGCAAAGCTGCAGACCGCCAGCAGACAGATCGTGCAGAACGCCATCCTGCGGGCCGTGCAGCAGGTCTCCCGGGAGAGCCAGAGCCGGAGGAGGGACGCCAGGGCCGGCAGCACCGCCCAGGGCAGCCTCCGGCCGGGCGCGGGGGAAGCAGCCAAGAAGCCCGAGCAGTAACGCACGGACGGGGCTCTTGGCACACCTTGGTTTCCAGCCCTTTTTGAAGTGTGGATGCGTCACCAAAAACGTCGCCGGTAAAGCAGACCGAAGAGTCCCTCATACCCAGCAGTAGGGTGAATTGGAGCCAGCCCTTGGCCGAGGGCGCTGTCCCGGGAAGTGCATTAAACAGCTCTGCTTACATTAATGCGGTGCCTCTGAAATAGACAGGCAGGCAAGACACTGCCATTACAGACGTAGTTTTGCAGCACAATTCATTTCTAAAGTTCTTTTTTAAAAAATGGTTCTGTCTTGTTTGTTTATTTGCCCTTGTGTGCATTCTTCCTGTAACTTCCCAGTGCTTTCTGCTGAAGCACTGAGTGCCCTGCTGTGATCTTTACCATATTTAAACAAGGCTTGCTGGCAAGGTGAGGGAAGGGCATTGCAGTCCTCCTCAAATATGGAACTGAAGGCTTTAATAAAGAGGGTTCAGGCCGAAGATCGTATTAAGAAAAGGCAAATTCTAAGTCCCTCAAGATTGTACAGAGGCATGCATTTATATTATTTTGTAAAAAAAAAAAAAAAAGAATTTAGGTTTTCAAGAATGCAGTCTCAATTCCCTCAATTGTTTGATAGTTGATATTTTCTCCCTGTGCAGAAAGCCTTGCTAAATATTACGGATTTCTTTTTCTATTTCACAATGAAAGTAAGACAGGTGAACCTAAGTGCACGAGAGAAGAGCAGCTGGAATTGTAGATTCCATCCTGAGATGCCCTGGGGTCTGATTATGGGATTCGGGGTCCTCAGAAGGAGCTCTGAGGCCATATAAATGTTGTGTGGCCATCAGACTATGCTTACACACTAGTACTTTGCTAACAGGAACTTTTCTTTTCCCATCCACAAATTAGATTTTTGTTTTATGAGACTATGAATATCACACCTATCTGGAATGAATGACACATAAAATGGGAAAAATCATTTTCTCACCTCTCTGAAATGTGAAAATACAGTGGGATCAACAAAGTGACCATGTTGTGAATGCAGTCATGGGAATGTATGTGTGCAAATGAATGAAGCCACCTGTGTGGCAACAGAATGCCTTCTGCTCCCCTCCCACGTGGGGGCCATACAGCCTTCTGTGTCCTTGCAGGCCTATTTCCTGGGCTCCCCGACAGTTACTGAGTCGGTGCTACCGCGAAAAGAGGAAGAGTCTGACCTTTGTTAGAAACTTTTGGGCTTCCGAGTGTCAGTATGTACATCTGACGGTTTTTTTTAAAAGCAAAGTTCCAGTGAATGAAGTGTGACTGGTATTGACAGACTTCTAAAATCCCACTATTTACACTTTCCAGAATGGATACTGTAGAGAAATGAATGAGAACAGTGTCTCATCAGTTCTGTTAGATGCTCTCACACCATGTGGCATGTGATGGAATAAATTCACAGGGAGAATGATTAAGGAGCAGAGGGGTTAACCTTCAAATGTGGTTTATTCATAATTTTCTGTAATACTCATGACAGTTGAAGAACGAGTTTAAGTCGAAGTCATATAATGGATGGAATATAAATTGTACAACCTAGATAATAGGAATGAAGGTATTTAGGGAACTGAGTCAGGAGTATCCTCGATTGAAAAAATAAATCCAATGCTTATAGTTTGCAAGTGATCCGGCCCTCTGTCTACTGAGATGTCTGGATAGAACCAGCCTTGGGTTTAGCTGCCAGATGGCAGAAACCCATAAACATGCTCTCTTTCCTCTCTGGTGTGTCTGTGCTGATACTCTGGGGGATCTTGGAGAATCTCTGATTAACCTCTGTATCTAAATGTTATTTATAAATAAAATATACCTAGCTTTGAAACATGTTGTCATTTTAAGCCAAGTTTTCTTCACCCTACTGTTTGGCTCTTTTCATATGGGTCCACGAGGCATCCCAAGGCTGTTTTCCAAACCTCTGAATTCTGGGATCCTGAAAGCATTTCTTAATAGGCCATCACTGACCCTGTCTGAACACAGCTGTGGAATGCATGTTCCTGAGGCATGAGCAGAAAAGCTTGTGAGTGACCTTTTGATCTCAGGAAGTGAAGGTAAGTAGGTTTGGAAGCCAGGTGTGTTTCATGGTCTTTCTGAGATGGAAAGTCTACAGCAAGGAACAGAGATACTGATATGTTCTTGGAAGGAGAAGAGAAAGTTTATCTGTCACTGCACTTGACAGGTAGGTGTCATATTAGCAGAATCCTAAGGAAATGGCAACCACTCCAGTATTCTTGCCTGGAGAGTCCCATGGACAGAGGAGCCTGGTGGGCTACAGTCCATGGGGTTGTGAAGAGTTGGACACAACTGAGTGAACACACCAGAAAACTCAGCCATAAAAATAAATGAATCTGATAAACTACTCCTTATAGCTGTCTCAGTATAAAGTTATGAGGTTTCAAAGGAGCCAACAGAACTTCATTTGGAGGGGGCCTTCCGCTTGGTTATGATCACAAGCCAGCACAAAGCTTTTGGTCCTAGGAATTCGTTGTGTGTGTGTGCTCAGTATGTCTGACTCTCTGCGACCCCATGGACAGCAGCCCGCCAGGCTCCTCTGTCCATAGGATTTTCTAGGCAAAAGTACTGGAATTAGCGGGAAGATCTATTTCATGCCCTTTTCCTCCCTGGCTTAATAGATGGTAAAATGCACATGGGCCTCCCAACTCTGTGTTCAGCCCTTTGTCTTGGGCTTTGCCTGTCCCTGGGGTGGAACTGGAGAGAAATTCTTTTTGGTGCTTTGTTTTTCTGCAGGTACCCACCCACCGTGAACAGTATTGTAAAGAGAACTTACTACTTCATCTTTGTTTCTCTTTTTTCTCCTTTAACTGCTTTAGTCTTCATTTATGGCATGGTTTCTGGTTACAAGTAAATGAATTGGCCATTTAAAAATAATCTTTGAAACTGTGCCACTTTGGCTATTTTCAGGGTTTAAGGTCTATAAAAAATTACTATTAAAAATTACAAAAAAGAAAGGAATTTTACATTTATCCACAGTAACAACTATTCTAACTAAAAGGTAGTAGAGAATGAAATCTCTGAAGAATCTGGTAACTAGTTTAGCAACTCTAGGACCCAAACTGGTGTAAAAATGAAATACCCTGGTTTGAGTAATTCTTCAGTTTATGTAAAGAGAAAGTAGAAAATACAATCATGTTGTTGGCTCTCTCGAGTGTGAGAAGGTTTTCTGAAATATGTGACTACACATTAACTCATGTGTGTCATCACAACTTCACAATCAATTTGTAGCCAGGAAGATTTTATTCTCCTTTTGCAGAGAAAGTCACACTGAATCTCAGAGAGGGTAAGTGTGAAAAGTGAGTAGTACTATTGGGCATAAGAATACATACATCGGGCCTCGCAGGTGGTTCAGTGGTAAAGAATCCGCCTGCCAATGCTGGAATCCCAGGAGGTGGAGTTTGATCTCTGTGTTGGGAAGATTCCCTGGAAGAGGAAATGGCAACCTGCTCCAGTATTCTTTATTTTTTTTCCCAGGTAAGAATACTGGGGTGGATTGTCATTTCCTTCTCTAGGGGATATTCCCAACCCAGGGATTGAGCCCTGTCTCCTACGTCTCCTGCATTGGCAGGAGGATTCTTTACCACTAAGCCACCTGGGAAGCCCCAAGCCTAATCCCCACTTCAGTTTTCTGGAGAATCGCATTAACAGAGGAACCTGGCAGGCTGTAGTCCATAGGGTCTCAGGAGAGTTGGACACAACTGACCACACACCTACATCCATCACTGTTCTTTGTGGGCATGTGCATTAGCTGGGGAACTTAAGAATATAAAATCCAGGGATACTAATGTTGAGATGGACCAATCAAACTGCCTTACAGAATGAGAAATGTAAGACATAGTAAAGGGCCAGCAGAAACCATCATCAGGGGTAGAAGAATGCCATCACCCATGAAAAGTGGCAGCAAAGAAAAGAAACAGGAGACCCCAGAGGAAACGAAACAGAAAGTCACAACAGAGCATGGGAAGTGCCTCCTTTCCCCTCCGCTCCTCAGAAGCCACAGAATCCTGACCCACATGTGGAGAAAGGTGGATGAGGAATGTCTTGATTGTTTTCTGGCTCCAGTGTAGGGTAGAAATAGGTGAAACAGGAAACAGGACTCCTTTCAGAGACAGGACAACCTGGTCTTACAGAAATGAAAACAGACAGAGGGACAGGAAGCAAAACACATGTTTAGAGATCTCATCATTTTCTAGGGAAATGGATACATATACTCAACAGAGATATTTCCAAGAATCAAAGAAAAATTCTTGAAAATCCTAGGCTGATAGCTAGTCCTTTACAGAGGTAGAACTTGGAGCTGGTGTCAGACTCCTTCAGAGCAGTGTGTGACATCCTAAAGTAAGAGAGAAAGGCTCTGGAGAAGCTCTGAAGGATGGAAAGTGTGAAGGAAGGATGTTATTTCCAGCCAGGATGTCACTCAAGGACAAAGGCAATCATAATAAAATTGGTCAAGAGCACTTTGAAAACCTACTTGGCCAGAAACTTCAGCCAGCTAAAAAGATAAAGAATCTAGGTTGTTGACCATAAAGAAAGCTGAGTGCTGAAGAATTGATGCTCTTGAACTGTGGTGCTGGAGAAGACTCTTGAGAGTCCCCCTTGGACTGCAAGGAGATCAATTCTAAAGGAAATCAGTCCTGAATATTCATTGGAAGGACTGATGCTAAAGCTGAAGCTCCAATTCTTTTGGCCACCTGATTCGAAGAACTGATTCGTTGGAAAAGACCCTGATGCTGGGAAATATTGAAGGCAGGAGAACAGGATGACAGAGGATGAGATGGTTGGAAGGCATCACTGACGCAGTGGACATGAGTTTGAGCAAGCTCAGGGAGTTGGTGATGGACAAGAAAGCCTGGTGTACTGCAGTCCATGGGGTCATGACTGAGCAACTGAACTGAGCGGAACTGAACTGAGGTTGTTGGGAAGCTGTAGTATAATGATCCGGTGAGGACAATGCTAAGTCACTTCAGTCATGTTCGACTCTGCAACTGTATGAGCAGGAGTCTGCCAGGCTCCTCTGTCTATGGGATTCTCTAGGCAAGAATACTGGAGTGGGTTGCCATGTGCCCCTCCAGGGGATCTTCCCCACCCAGGGATTGAACCTGCAACTTCTGCGTTGCAGGTGGATTCCTTACGGCTGAGCCACCGGGGAAGCCCAGTGAGGAGCAGTGCTCTCACTTAAATATCAAGTGAACGTGATGTAATTGCAGAAATTGGGCTGATGAAAAGATGTGAGTTCTTCTATATTGATAAAATAAAAATATAACTTAAC